GGAAAAGGAAGAGGCTGCCAAACTTCAGAGAATCAAAGAGGAAAAAGACAAGTAATGGTGGCAGCCAGCAGTTTCATCCCAAAAGGTACGTTGCTTGTGGTCATTTGTTACCTTTCTTAGTCCAGAATGATCCCAGAGGTGCAGTGTTATCCCACTGCATTTTCCTGAGCAAGTATGGGCTTTAAGAATGGCATTAAAACTGTCCAGGTACCTGGCAACAACGGCTGTACTTTGGTTTCCCACCATTTGCTGTTTAAGAAGCTCCTGGTGAGGAAGGATGTTTAACAGTTGGCCTTTGTTCCTCACTCTTGACTGCCACAGCTTAAGTCGTGATGCTAAATTTCAGCGTGCTGCCATAACCATTATTAGCAGGCTTTCTGGATTCTGTGCTTGGGAACAGAAAGATGGCTTGAAACTTCGAAGATTTGATGGAACGTTTGAACTTCAGTTCCCCGTCCCTTGTTAATTCAGAACTTTTCTCCAATTGTGCCATACAAGGCAATGCCTGCATCGAGACCGCAGCATTTGGACCCAGGAGTCTGGCTGGTCCTGAGCTCCCAGGGCAGATCCACCAGCAAACTATCACAGGGTGATGGAGCAGCCAGGCTGCGCCTCATCCTTGGAGTCGGTGCCCTTATTTTAGCAGCTCATGCCATTATTAGTCTGGTAACTCAAGCAGCAGCAGTTAGTGCTGAAGGTCCATGCTTCAAAGCAGGATGATTAATCGGTGCTGAAAGGGAGCGAATGGAAAAGGAGAAAGGGTTGGAGCAATTCTGCCCTCCCCAAACCCTCCCTAAAAACGGGGGGGGGCATTAGAAAACTTGAGCAGTAAGTTCTCATTTGGGATTTGTAGTCCCACCTTTCAAAGGGTTCTGTGCCCATAGCTTGCCTTGCGCAAAAGGAAGCGAGCGGGAGTTCCCTGTGCTGTGCTGTGGTCAGGTTGCCTAATCCCGCACCCAGAAACGCCCCTCGGTTGGTACCTGAGGTGGAGGACACGAGGTACGAAAGAGCAGTTACGTGGCCAACCTGCGCCTTGCGTTTCTGCAGTGATCTGAGTGGGGCTTTATTCGGCCCGTAAGCGTCGCAGACATCGCGTTCTCTCCGCCGGGGGAGGCCAGGCCCTGCGGAAGAGGAGCTCTAAGCAGTACAAACGTGCTCTCCAAAACATTCTGTAAAATCCCCACCTGAAGAGCCATGCCTCAGTTTTAAAGACTGTTAGGTTTTACTGCTGTATTAACTACTGCCACCTCACCGTGCATCCATCGTCAGCGAGACAGCGCCGTCTGCCTTGCTGAACTCGCTGCTCGCCACCGCTGGGCCTTCCGAGGACGTCTGCTCCTCCGCCCTGTCTGTCCTCATTCGGTTCTTTCCTTGCTGTAGCAAACAGCGGTTCCCAGCTCGGTAGGTTTTACTCCCACCCTTTTTACCTTCTCATCTAGGAAAATATTAGTCATTAAATGCTGTTGACCCTGCAGCACCACTTCCTGCCCCTGCTTCTTGCCCTTAGGCAAATGCCAGAGCAACAGCTACGCGGGATTTACATTTCAAAGGTGCTTTTGCAGCCACCTGTATTTAAAAAAAAAAAACACAACCAACCAAAAAAACCCAAGCCAAAACGCCCCCAAAACCAACAACCTTTTTAAAAACGAAAGCATAGTCTTCTAGGAAGCGTAACGGTGGGCGTGGGGAGCGCGGCAGGTAACGCAGGCGCTTGACGCGTGCCTTCTCCCTGGGTTTTGCAGTGGTTACAGCAGGTACCGAAGGACCAGGAGGCCGGCCGGCTCCAAGGGTCCAGCCCCCCCCGGGCCCAGCCCCGGGCCGACGGCGCCAGCGCCGCGCAAGGAGCTGCGGGAAGGCTGGGGATCATGGCACCACCCAAACCCAAAGCCAGGCAGTTCCTCCAGCCCTCGTATGCAGTGTTGTAACGAGGAGAATGTAAATACTGTATAGCAGCAAGCCCCGAAGATGTAATCATTGTTTATTAAATCTTTGTTTTATTTGCTAAACCTTCTGTGACTTGTACATTTGTCAAGTACAAATACACTGAATAAATGTTTTTGAACTCATAAGCTTATTTAGACCTTTCTACTCTAAACAGAGTTCTGACTGGTTCTAGAAACGCTTTCCGTGGAAATAATCCCTGTACCCCTGCCTTCCAGCTGCCTCGGGGCTACGCTGGAGACCGCGGCTCGAGGGTGGCTGCTGGAACTGCGCGTCCCAAAGCTGCGCTGGCCCCTGGTCCTGCGCAGGGAGCAGGGGAGAAGGGCTGCAGAGCTCGGGGCAGAGCTGGGTCCTGCGCGGGGAGCACAGGAGAAGCGCTGCAGAGCTCGGGGCAGAGCTGGGCTGCTCGCTGCGGGTGTTCACCCCAGCTCAAAAACGTCGCTAACGTTTCTGATCCCCGGTACTGGGGCTGGAGGCCCCGGGAGTGCCCCGTGGGTGCTTCTCTTAGGTTTTTTTGTTTATGTAAACTGGGATCTCGCCACTGCCCCGGTGAAGGGCGTTGGAGCTGCCCTCAGCTTCCACCCCCCTCCTCGCAGCAGCCGGCCTTGGCGATGCGCCTGTTTTCGCCAGCGTGAACCGGTCGCTTGCTTGACTGGAGCAGAGGATTCCATCAGCTGCTTCTCGGCAACGACTCTGGAACCGCC